CCAGTTTGCCGCATGCAAAGCATTGGTGCTGCCGATATTCACAATTCTTACAATAAAAGTTCTGGATCTCCTGCATAATTTTTCCATGGCTACAGTCAAACAAATTTCTTCCCAAATATATGAAATGAAAAAGGACAAGAACATTATAAAAGGAAAACAATAGAGAACCATCATACATCAACTTCCTTCTGGGTAAAACCAAGAGAAAAACAACAATTTTCTCTACCAGCTTCCTCGGTAGCATGAAATGATCTCATGCACACGCCATCACAACTGCAATAACATTAAATAATTTTAAATTATGAAGAAAAACTCAAAAACTATTCCACATACGGAGGCAAATGAAAATTTCACGTAATTTACTGTAAGAAATTTATCAGAATACATAGTAACATCAGGTTCCTAACAGTATCTTTAGAATATATAGTAGAATCTATTAGTTATCTTATGAGGAAGCAATCTTAAGAAATGGTTACTGATTTTGTTTGTATCCTTTTTTATTATGATTATGGCTCATTACATCTTGGCAGGATTTGGCTTATGCTGGATTTTCTACAGATCAAGTAGTTCATAACTTTTGTAAATAGAAACTTTACACATCATATCAGTATAGAGTATTATTATGCACAATCTCTATTCCAATAATTCGTAACAAAAGGTATGCTGCCAGAAGATACACAAGAGGACAGATACAGATTATTAAAGTAAAATAACCCATCTGAAAAATTAACATACCATATAACATTACCACCATTGTCACAAAGTGCACAAACATCCAAAGCATCCGTTTCATCAGACTCTTCATTAGATTTATCTGTCATATCACCGTCAGTTCCACCAACCGGAAGTCCTGGCAGTTCAAAATCATTAACTTCCTGAAATAAAGTAGAAAAAATCATTAAAAATACACAAGGCTGGAATTGAATGCCTCAGAGAAATCATCTTTGATGATTGTAAAAACAGACCTCGTTAAGAAGCTTTTGACTCTTCAGTTTCACCAAAACCACGAGCAAAAGCTGTATAAGTCATCATGCAGATGCATTAAAATGAAGCAAGCATGTTGGGAACAGTAAACAAGTCTTATCTAATGAAAACAGGGAAAATTAGAGAGCTCAATTAATCAAAATTCCATTGCCGCATGCAAACTCTTATTGATGGAACAATATATGAGACCAAAACACCTTATCTAGTTCACTGTTATTACAATCCAGTTTCACGAACTATTCCTAAACATGAAATCCCATAGATACATCATCCAATATAAAGAACAAAGAAGGGTTATGTAGACCCCTTAAAATGAAATTAAAAGTGAGTCAATCGGTACAAGTTATTGTTATATATTCTTCATCCCATCAACAGCGGAAGTCAAAGTGGTTCACAAACAAAGTGCCATATGTGAATTACATCAATTAACTTCCTCAATATGTAATTCCTTGACGGATACACTCCATTTAAAGCTTACTTAAAAATGTATTATCGTTTATCTATGGAACTAAATCATTTACTTAAACAAATTAAAGTATAGAATAAAATAGAATCATGAGATCTATACCTAGAAACCAAGATTGATAACTAGGCTAGATTGTCAAACTCAAACAATACTTGTGATCATTAATTTCCATAAGGTTAAATATGTTTTTGATCCTTTAACTTTAAGTGAAAATTAGAATTAGTCTCTTAACTAATTTTAATTTTCACTTAAAGTTAAGGGACCAAAAACATATTTAACACATTTCCATATGTGTTGAGGAAGGAGAGTGAAAAGCTATTTCTTTAATTTGTGTTTAACATGGCAATTTCTACTAAAGTACAGACCTACTTGGGCACATTTGAGGGAAGCCACGAGTTTTTTACAATTTGTTAATATAATTAGTATTTATCCCCTTAATATGAAATGCAATACAAAAATCAATCCATAATCTTGAGTCTTACCCCCCAAAAATTTATATATATGTGTGTGTGTAAGTGTGTGTGGTTACCAGTTAGTCTTTATATGTCCAAACTTTGTTTCTTCTAATTCATTCGTAATGAAAACAGAAATTTAATATGTTGTGGCCTTGGTGTCATTGGTCCTATGTGTTATTGGTGTATATAAGCAAGAAATTTTTATATTGTGAAGTTTACTTACTCTTTAGCGGTCTTAACATGATCACCTTAAGCAGGGACCAAAACACGAGCTCATTCAGATTTCAGACAAGTACAGGGACTAAATGAGTGATTAAATCTTTACATATACAATAATATTGCACCCACGACGTAAAATTTCTAGAATTGACAGTAAGACTACATAGAAAGGGAAATACAAACCTTGGACTTTGCTAAGACAGCATCCCTTTTGGAAGCTTCGCCAATCAAAAGCATGTGGTCCGATAAATCATGTTTTGAGGGCTTAACACCGTAAGAACTAGATATACATGTTCAGAAAAAAAGCAATCAAGAAATGCACTTTCATGTACATTATTATCAGAATAAGAAAGTTAAGAAGAGGAAAAAATACATTAACTCCTTATCCTTGCTGAAGTCTTGCCAGAAAGATCCGACAGACATTTGATGCCGTCTCTTCACACTATGGAGGAAGTGAAGGGTGACCAAAACAGTCCTTACTTCTTCTTGAAAACTCTTTCTAGGCTTCTGAAGGTTGATCCACCTTCCATCCTTTGCCAGCAAGAATACCTCGGGTCTGACATTGGAAATATCAAATCGCCACGCCGTCACTTGCACGAATGTCTTCAACAGCCCACTATCGGCATCCCCGTATAGAAACACCTTCTCTTTGCAGTCACCAGAGTTCTCAGAATCATTCCATTGAATTGGCAACACAGCAAAAGACACAGGATTGTCCTCATCGTCTACAAGATGGTAATTTGACACAGATATTGACTGAATCTCAGACTCGTACTCCTCTTCACCATCGGAATACGATGACCTATCCCTCTTCATCCCAGAGCCTTGCTTTCCACTCACACTACCCAAAGAAACAAAAAAAAAAACACAAATCAAAGGAGTGTGTAATTGCTAATGATAACATATACCAAACAATCATAACCATTCAGGGTTTAAACATAACACCCTTCTCTCCCCATTCATCAATCACCGTGGCCGCGGGTAGATGAGTGTAACAAATTGCAAAATGCAACAGTAGAACAAATAAAAATAAATAAAAAAAGATTAGGAAGAAGAAAAACCCTAGGTTCTAAAATCGATAAAGAAAACGATCATGCTGAAGCAGCGAAAGAAAGTTGAAACGCACGAGAGAGGGAAGGAACAGCAGAAGCTAGGAGTGAGAATGTGAGTGAGGTTAGGTTAGAGAGTTAAATTAAAACCTTTGAGAAAACTTTTTGGCGCTGCTTCGATTTTCGCAGAAGTTGCCGCGTGTATTCTTCTTCTCAGTTAGAGAACGCCACCTGTCGCAAAGAACCATTTTATAGAGAGAGGACTATGATAATTTTGCACGATAATAGAAAACAAATAAGATAAAATTAGGATAAGATAAGAAATAATATCTTTATAAATATTACGATAATACAAAAGAAGTAATATCTTTATATTTATAATACGATTACTGTGAAAGAAAACAAATAAGATAAACACAAGATAAGTTTTAATATTTTTCATTAATGTTTTTAACCTTTAAACAAAAGAGATTAAGATATTTTTTTTCTTTTAGATATAATATGATAAGTTTTATCTATTAATTAGTGTAAAATGAAAATAATAAGAGTTGCATTGATTTGTTTTCATATATTAATTCGAAATAAATATGTAATAGTTCTTTTTTAAGGAATACAAATTTATATTTATTTTTAATTTATGAGAGATATTTATGTTTTAAAGCATGATAAGGACTTTCAGATACTTATATTTAATATATTATCTTTAGCTAAAACCGTGTATAGACACCGAATTCTTTAGGATATCTTTTTTCAATATTGAAAGATAAACATATTATTTATCAATATTTTTATAAATGAGACTACAAAATATTCATATTGGAATGGAAATTACTGTAAATTGCGTAAGAGTCAAATTATTAGTTATTTAAGCAAGTTTAGAAAAAACATTTTATATCTATATATAATCTAATCGTCTTTGTAGTCTTTCTTATAAAATTGTTGAAATGAGTATGCAAAAAATTTGATGAATAAATTTAAGATTAAATCATGACAAAAAAAAAACATAGTGAATACTGATTAATAGATACGATTGTACATTTAACGAAAGATTCTATTTATTATTTTGTATACATACATGTTGAACTTTTGTATCTTTGGTTAAATTTTTATTTTGAATAGTTTTTGAGATATAATTCATGTTTAGTTTTAGGCAATAGTAATTTGAAAAATAGTATTGATTTATCTTGAAAAGGTACAAAAATCGCGAAGTTCATACAAAAGAAAGTTATATTCTATTAAAAATATTACACTATGATTTTCTTTTTTTAATTTCTTGCTGGTATTCGTGTGTGTGTGTATATATATATATATATATACATTACTTTTATTCAAATTTGTAAAGTTGGTTATAACTTATTATGATATAATTAAAGTGACGTAAAAATTACTTGTTTGATATGTTTCTATTTTTCATACAATATACGTTGACCACTTTTATAAAGAAAGAAGAGTAAAAATATTAAATGTGTTTTAAAGATAATTTACAAAACTAAGTATCAAGAAAAGTTAATATAAAATTTGAAAGGTATCTTATAAACTAAAATAAATTAAAAATGTTATAAGAAGAACATTAATATTGAGACGAGCAGAAGAACGAGATAGATATATCCACACTAATTTTTATTCAAATGCTAAACTCAAAAAATTAAATATTTTCTATACATATAATGTATTCAAATAATATGAGAATTGAGAATGTTACGCCACACATATTACACCACGTCCACTACCACTACTTGGCACCAATAAACAAGGGGACAACAACAAATGTTAACATTTCCAATCAATTTTCTAAAAAGAATAACAATAATATAAATAAAAAATATATAAATATAGAAACATTATATATAATCTTATTATATATAGAAACATTATATTGAAACATTTCTAATGAATGAAAACTTATTATATTTGTTGCTGTTGGTTGTGACATGAACGTAACGAATGACAAAATACAAAATAGAGTAGTGTGAATTGATCACATTCATTTCTCTCTTTTCCCTCTGAAGCTTTATTCATTCTGATCCCTCTGAATAAGCATGCATTCCTCTCCAAAGAACAAGAAATTTTTGTACAAGTTATTCACATCTACTATTCTATAGATTTGTTTACATCCGTAACCTCTGTTTGAAGGTTGAGGCATGGTGAAAATGCTTCCTTAAGCTTTGCAAAAACATGTAGCAGACATCATCTCATGCAGATAGAGGACTCATAACAGCTCATCTGCTGCAGCAACGCCATCAGACTCCGGTTGTGAAGAGGCTGTGCTGTCAGAGGTGGTATCATCCACGCTCAAGTTGGAGAACTCGCCGCCGATGGAGGAATTTTCATCTTCACCGCAAACCGAAGGTGCTGGAGATGCTTCAGGTGTGGTGGTAGTTGCAGTGTTAGCAGGAGAAGGAAATGAATTTAGATCTTCAGTCTGTTGTTGAAGGCTCCAATACATTATGCTAGCTATAAGAGTGAGTATCATCTTCTGGTTAACCTGCCATGAGATCAACCAAGAAAAAGTGAGAAGCACATCATAAACAAAGTCAATCCAGAATGTATCTATTTGTTGAATAAGCTTGCTTCTCTGGAAACAGAAGAATATAAAAAGGTAAAATGCTACGAAGTTCAGCTAAAATTAAATTATGCAGTTCAGCTTTTTTAGATGTTAGATGGAAGAAGTTTTCATTAAAGTTGAAGGGTTTTAGTTGATTTTAACTTGTGGGAAAAGTTGAATTCATTTTACCTTACATGTTTCTCTTGTAATATGATAAGTGCTTGTTTCTCTAATTAGTGTGTTTGTGAAAAAAATGATTCCAACAGTATGGAGTGGACAAAGTTTTGTTGCAACCATACCTCCATAATATCCTCAGGTAACAAAAAAATGGAGCAACCAAGCTTTCGTGCAACACTGATTGTGTAGGTGGCATTCAACCTCTTTTCATCATCTACAACAACAAATTAAGCAAATTTGGAAGGGATCAGAAAATAACAAATTTATTACACTGTATATACAAAGGACCTGTTTATATACACATCCCTATATATATCTATATATCTATCTATACAAAATGGTAACATTTGGAAGGAATCATACCACTTCCACCCTTGGTGACAAGGTTCCAATTGACAAGTCTGGGCTCAACAGCACTCAGAAGCTCAAGGAAAAAGAGTCCACTTGACAAGCTCTTGTCCTTTAGATAAGTTGGATAAAAAAATGTGTCACTACTAGTAAATCATCATCTATAGTTTTGTTGCAGAACATTGTTATTAACAACAAATAAACAGAATTTGTTTTGGAGAAAACCTTGAAGCTCTCTATTTGAGAAGTTCTGCCAGTGCTCTTCACTTTTCTGTTTGCCCATTTCAGGATATCTGCATCCCTGATCTCCTTTCCTTGGGAATGAGATCTCAAATTTCTCAACAGTTGAAGCATAGTAAACCTCATCAGCTGCCACAATAAAGCTGAAAAATGAAACATAATAGTTTAGACCAAATTGAAAGCTACACAGATATGATCATAATATTTGTGTGGAAGCTATAATGAGATGAAGATATTACCAAGAATAAGCTTCTTATTTCCTTGCACAATGTCGTTTCCAGATACATTGACTAGTGAGAATCTCAGTTGTGTACCAACTTCTATGACCTGATTGCAGTTCTCTACTTTTCTGAAGGGCATTCTAATTGGAGGTTTTGTCGCCTGTTTCCAGTTAATTGATCCTGGAAAAATCTTGTCTAACACCTCTAAAAGTACCCATCTACATGCAGAAAGTAAAAGAAATCAAACACAGTGAATTTTATAAAGTTGGATATCAAATTCACTTTCTTTTTCCCAACATGGGATAGCAGGAGAATTATATAAGTTTATTAAAAAAGAGAGCAATTGAAGAGCTCTTGCATACAAGTGAATAAATATCTGCCAGGTAGATCTTTTGGTCATTATGTTTTAAGACCCAAAAAATTTACAGTTTTAAACATATACAAGGCTTTCTATTTTGACAAAATAATAAATACAGTTTAAGAAATGGAACACATACCCATTTCTGACATCCTCAAATAGATTATTTACATGTGTAGAAATTCCAAGACTATTGATCCACAGTCGGAAGCATCTCTCTTCTCTAGATGTTTGCACATCTTCAGTTATCATCTCAGCATAGGAAATCTTTTTAGTGTCTGTGGACAGACCACTCCTGCAATATGTAGGGCCATAATTAAATAACCACATCACTTAAATGGAAAAAACAAATCCAGAAATTCACATATGTAATGCTGCAAAATTAAAGTATTTTCTGATTATGATACACTAAACAAACCAAGGAAAAGGAATCCTCCACTAAAGAAAAGTGCATACATGCATATGGGTATTTATTTAAATTATCAAATAGTCTGCATAGAATTAACTATGCAATTCATTTCATACCTGTGATGAAACAGTTGTGCAACAAATGCAAGATTCAAATTCGAAGTACCCTCAGCAACATCCCTCGGGGCCAAGTATCTTTTGCAGCCCATTTTCTCTGCATGATCAATGACCATATTTGCCCTTTCATTGGCATCCTTGATATCTAAGGTGGCTGGATTGCAATGTTCAGGAGCGAGGACATTAAGCAGATAAGCATAAGCCTCTCCATCCTGTAAATAAAAGGGTGTGAACAAATTAGAACAGTGGATTGATAATAGCTTGATTCGATTTCAGATTATAGAGGAATAAACTCTCATGAGTTATAGCACTATTGGCTTAGAATCTGGGAGTTGAAGAAATCGGAACTCAGCAAGAACAAACACAAGAAAAATTGGAATTGGATTGCTAGTGGTGAAAATCCTCTTTAAAATGTATTAAGCAAAATACTAAGGCATCTAGATGTCAAAGAATACTATTTCCAAGATTTAAAATCCTAAATACCATTGTACAAATTTATATGTAGCATTACTCAAAGTACTAAAGTAATCCTCCAATTGCATTTATTTAGTTGTACTCATTCTTAAAGAATACAAAAATAATTACAAAGAAAATTAACAAATAATAAATTAGTCAACCTAAGCATAAAATGCTATTAAAGACATGCTCAATTACCTTAACATCAGAAGAAAAATTTCTGACAGTTTTCTCGTATCCTGCTCTCTGGAGATGAAAATTCATCCATTTTAGTAGAACCTTTTCGGGAGACAAATTAAGAAGCTCTTCGATATCCTGAGACAACAACGAAATTTGCAATGAATGAAACATTACAATTTGATTTGATTGCAATGAAAATATATATTAAAGAAGAAGAAAAAAATGCATATCTCATTACCTCACCGTCATCAGCCAATTCCACAAGTTGAGGTGTCTTCTTAAGGTTGAGATCAGCCAGCAGCTGAATCTGAAATCCAAGATAGTGGGAGCAAAAGTGAGAACAATGACTAATTAATCATTCCACAAGTCAAAATATCAGCAAGGGCAGTAGGAAAACTGATTTCCACATACAAACAAATTCAAATAACTAAGCTAAAATTAAATTAATGATATATGCAGTTCAAGTATTTTTACCTTTATAATTTGGGAAATCAACCCTAGAACAAGATGAGGCTGCAACATAAACAACCAACAGAAATGTGAGAAAGACTAAGTGTTAGGAACCTAGGTAAATGTCTATAGAGAATTTACGGGGTGCAGACTGCTAAAACTTACTCTTCCTTCAACCAAATCCTGTGCACCAATGTTAACCACTGTGCAGCCAATAGCCTTAGCGGAGTTGAGGCATAGGGTATGGTTCTCGTTGACCTCCCAAAGACTAGGACTGCGTTTGCAATTGATGGCTCGCTCATCTATAGTCCCAGGAACAGCAACATTGATGAGTTTACTGCATTAAACACAACATGTAACAAAGTCAATACATATTAAAGATTCAGACACACATAAGTAAAATGCAACAATCAGCAGACCCTGCTTATATACCACAGAAGAACGCCATCTTTTGCAAGATCAAATATATCATTTGAAGCTGGGTTCAATGGAAGATATTGCTTCAAAAATGGATCATCACCAAGATAGCTGTTTATGTGGGCAACGTAACAGGCCTTTTCTGATTCACTGATTGTGTGAAGAAGGGTGGTCACAGTATCCTTGAGGAATGACGAGGAGTGCCTCCTACCACCCTGTTTTGCAGTAGCTTGGCTTTGCAAATTCAAATATGACTGCATGGAAAATGTAATCAATTGGAAGGTTACGTACATTATATTTAACGTTGTTAAATGGCACACAAACTGTTTCATTAATACAACTAATTCAGACATCATCCCACTATTTCAAGTTCACTACTTGGAAAAAAGTTCAGAATCAAGTAATGTTAAAAAAGAAAGAATCGAAGGTACCAAACCACTAACCTTTAAGAACATTTCAAAATCAATGTCATTGGTAAAATCAGTGCCTGATTCCCCCAAGATCCCCCTAATCTCATCCTCACTGTACATGCCTCTGAATGCGTTTACCTTCACCATCAAAGGTGGCAAATCTCCAAACGTAACTTTACCATTCTGATTCTTTAAAGTCTCAAACTACAACACCAGGAAGAAGAAGGTTCATATAAGGGGAAAAAACACAAGCATGAAAGACGTCAAATTTAAAAGAATGATGAAATTGGACCAGAAGGCCCATTACAGGGAAGCAATGAAATGAACCTACTTTTGATTTCAGGCTGCGAAGCTCAACCTGCGTGAATTGGCTATGAAGCCATTGATCGGAGACAATAACACCTTCGAATTTAGACATCTTGAAGAATCACTAACCGAACCTACAAATTGTATTGTATCCCCAAACTACAAAAATTACCCTTGCAGCACAAACAATACGTTTATGCCTGGTAACTCAACAACTTATTGCCTGATGCAATGCTACACGGTCGAATTCAAATATAACGACCAAATCTACAACAAAACGAAAACAAGAAGCGGTTTATCTCCCGGACTCACCGACCTGTCCAACGTTGTCCTGACAGATAACAAAAACAAAAGATAAGCTTAAAAAGGAAAAAACAGAACACAAATGCTAAAACAGAAAAAAAATAAAATAGTTCGTTAGATTAGTTATTGAGAAAACCCCATGACATAAAAAACGAACAGAAACTCAATTCCATCAAACATATCAAAAGGGTACAACGCATTTCACATCTGTGTAATGTCCCTTTTCTTTTCTTAATGAACTGTTATTGGTATTCGGTTATTTACCCCTTTCCCCAGACAGCAAAATTGAATTGGGAATGTTGAGATGGAGAAAGAAGACATGAAAGAGAAGAAGTTGAGTAAGAACCACGCAGACGGTGGTACATGCATTGCAGTAATTGCATTTGTCAAGTAAAACTAATAATAAGAAATACCCACACATAAAAATGATGTATAGGTTGTTTTAATGTTCAACAACCTTTTACTGTTTCACTCACAACACATTGAATGAAGAGAAGCGTAGGAAAGAGAAGAAAGGATCGATTTTTCTTAGTGGGTAGGCAAAGTGACAGAGAAGAGAAGACACGGTGAGACTCCCAAGTCCTGTTACTGTTTTGTTTTGGTTCCACGTTGGGCGCGTGAGGTAACTGTGAGAGTATTTGTAGGTTTTGAACTCGCTCTACCGTTCAAACACGTCGCAGTCTTGGTGTATAGTTATTTTGGTGTTTTGTGGAACCGACTTCGATGTGGTTTTTGTTTTGATCTGATCTGATCTCACCGAAATACAGCCGTCGGATCATTATGGCTGACATGTTCATCGTCACAGCTGTGTGTGATTCGGTTTGGGCCAATAGAAAACCGCATTACGCAACATATATTTTATATAATAATAATAATTATTATTATTATTAAATTTTTAATATATTTAGTCACGTCTCTTTCTATTTCACATTCCATCAGATCCCGTTTCAATTTATTTTGTTACTTTGAAATATTTACGGGAATATAAAAAATTGACCACTAACGGTTTATGAATATTTAATTTTTTTAAGAATGTAGGAAGTCTGATGTTTTAATCAGAAATCTTTTGCAGGAAACAATAATTAATCAAGAAGGCGAATGATGTTTGCTGTAAAGTTGGAGAAAATTAATTTTAAATTGCTAGATATAATTTAAATATGTTTTAATTTTTTATCAATTGATGTGATGCCATCAATGATTATTTGTTACGTCATTCAGAAGTTTGACTTAATCACACCATACCAATATACAAGAGATTAAGAAACATAGTTAATAAAAAAGAATTACATATCATGTTTAGATAGATGTTGTACCCACTGATCTAGGTTTCTAATATCTAATGTTAATACATTTGAAGATATGATGAGTAATAAAAACAAAGTTCAAAAGAAATATATCATGTGATGTCATAAATTAATTATTTAACAATCAAACGTGATTATAATTATCACTTCATGTGAGATTATTTAAGGATAGAGATAAAGAAAATATTTAAAAAAATTACCTCAGGTAAAACTTTGATTAGAAACTAAACAAATTAAAAGCTTTAACGATATTATTTCAAATTTTTGTCACCGTTTTATTTTTAAAATACACTTGTAAAAATGAAAAAAAAAATTTAAATTATTTTAAATCTGAATTTCTCAACGATTTGATTCTTAAACAATTTGAAATTATTAAATATAAAACATATACAGTGTACATTTCAAACATATACAGTGTACAGTGTACATTTCTATCTTAATTATATATTTATCGATAAATATCAAATTCATATTTTTTAACGAGTGGGGCCACACAAGAGTATCTTAAAGAGTAATGGGTCTCTGTTTTCTGTACCCCACAATTACTAATTGCACTTTATATTAAAAAAATAAATTAAAGAGGGTTACTCCCAACACCATCATACATTGCTTTCTGTACTATCACATTTTTTTTAAATTTCAAAACTATCTTTTATATTTTAAAATATCTTACACCTCCTCCTTTTCTCTTGAACGGATGTCGACATTCGTTGAAGAAATTTTTTTTCAACGGATATCCCACATCCGTTTAGTTTTTTTTTTAAGTTTTTAGTTTTCTTAAGTTTTTAAATTAATATATAAATATTATTTAATTTTTTTAAAAATTATTACTTAATTATTTATAAATTAATTTTATTTTATTTAATAAAATAATAATTAAAATACTTTTTAAAAATTTATTAAAACGGATATAGATGTTACATCCGTGAAGTTTTTTCTTTTTAAAGTTTTTAGTTTTTTATTTTATTATATTTTAAATTAATATATAAATATTATTTAATTTTTTTAAAATTATTATTTAATTAATTATAAATTAATTTTATTTTATTTAATAAAATAATAATTATTAATTTAATTTATGTATTATTATTTAAATAATAAAATAGTTTTTAAAAATTTATTAAAACGAATGTGGCAACATGAAGTTTTTTCTTTTTAAATTTTTAGTTTTTAATTTATTATATTTTAAATTAATATATAAATATTATTTAATTAATTTAAAATTATTATTTAATTATTTATGAATTAATTTAATTTTATTTAATAAAATAATAATTATTAATTTATTTTATATATTATTATTTAAATAATAATCAAAATAGTTTTAAAATTTTTATTAAAACGGATGTGACAATCTGTTAACGGTACATCCGTTAAAAATTTCTTTTTCTTTTTAAATAAAAAAATAAATTAAAATATAAAATATATGAACGGACGGATGTCAATATCCGTTGAAGGTGAAACGGATGTTGACATCCGTTTTAGAGAAGGACAAAATTAATATAAGGTGGTGCAAAGAACATTCAGTGGTGGTGAAGGAAGCAACTGCCTAAATTAAAACATCAAATTTATTGATGTACTTAAATAAAAGATTCTACAAATAAGTTCAAATAATAGATTTTAGGCCTTTTTTTCCTGCACCTCCATTTGTTTTTCTGCACTCCTATAAACTTTATATCTCCATTTTATCCTTTACTAAATTATAGTAAAAATCTTAAATTATAAGTTAACAACTTTTTTTACCATAGTCACTACTTTATTAATATATTTAAATTTATTTTAAAATAATATTTCAAACAGATCAATTACAAGTATTGCCAAAAAAAAAGTTGCGGAAGTTGTTAAAAAAACTCTTTTCAAATTATAATCTTCCGGTACCTCCTTTCTTTTCTTCCACGTGTGCCGCAAAACACCTCCATTTCCATCTTCATGCTTCTTCATGCCCCATTCCGGATTGCTCAATCCGGAGAAGACTCGTGCATCAATGGTATGTGTGGAGGCGAATGGAGAGCGACGCTTCGACGGAGTGGCGAATGCGGAGGGAGTGGAGGAGCAGCAGCAACGCCTAATTTCCGGCGATGAGAAGGTGTTGGTGACGGGGCTGGTGTACATAGGAGATTGAGGGAGAACTCCATTTGCATAGGAGCCTGTCACCCTCGAAACCTCGCTCATTCACAGAGTAGAAAAGAGCTTGCTTTAGAACCTCAAGCTCCCAACCTCCAGCTCTAGTGCCTCTGAACCCTCCAATCCATTGCTTCCAGGTCCCAAACCAACAAACGCCCCATCAAATCCGCAGCGGATGAAGCATTAAGCTTGTTACACAACCTTAACTTAGGATGGTGAAGACGATGCTGATGATCAGGGACTCTACAACCACGTTGGACTCATCACGGGAGTCGTTACACGCTCAGAGAGCTTGACGAAGAGGAAGATGAGGAGACACAACGCGTGGACGAGCGCGACATGTCGCTGCATGGGGATTTTCTCCGTGAGGTGAAGGAGCTGGTCGGCGAGCCGGTGGCGCTGGCGCGGGTGTTCGTGAACGGGAGGTACGTCGATGTCACGCGTTCCTTGTTGCAGTGTTTATTAGTGATTGGAAAAGGGGAAGAAAAATGTATTGGTTTTGCAATCGATGAACCTACCTTAGAATAAACCCCATGGCAACAATCTCACTCATATATCTATCAATCTATATATTTTTGTATACAATCTCACTCATATATCTATCAATCTATATCTATCTATATCTATCTCTATATATATATATCCATGGCAACAGTCACACAGTGATGCCATTGCCTAAGATCGTTTGGTGGATTTTTTAGGACACTTTGATGACCCTCAAATGAAGGTTTAGTGCATCTCTTCCAGAAAAAAACAAGACGTCTATCACTCCTTTCCACCCAAACTTATTAATATGTTTAACAAAAAATGTTTATTCTTAGAATAAAATGTCAAAGAGGAAAATGAATGAATAAGTCGAGACAGATACTGTGAATTACTTGTTTCTTCATGCTTTTATAATATAAAACACTCATTTCATATCAGATAAATTAAACTTTAGAAATCTCTAAGCTTATTTTCCAACTTGGTATGCGTTTATCACATCCCTAATATTTACTGTGACTTGAAATTGAGAGGATTAGAATGACTTAGAAAAATTAAGTTCATTCCTCCCACACAAAATTTGAAGATGTAAAGGAAATGTGAGAAAAAGTAGAACGTACACTATGTAATGAGATTCTTGATTTACAATTGTTTTCCAACAGAATTGAAATTGAACAAGAACAAGTGCATGAAACATTCTTCAGTCAAGCCACTTATCCACTCATTTATTCTGTTGCAGTTTTCATGAGTTATTTTTCAGCACCTCTAACCATATTAACAATTCATTCAAGCTTTCCTACAGTACAAAAATCCCAAGCCAATTCCAAATAGCATTCCACATCCATATCCTATAACCACTGGTTCCCATCCAAATCCAAATCTCTCTTTTCCTCGAAAATTTGAAGATGGAGATTTTTGTTCAGTGTTGTTGCACTTCATTGATAATGGGAACCCACATAAAATCCCGAGTTTCCTAGTAGGAGTCATTTTAAAAGTGTCCAAATGTTTTCCTTTGGGAGGTATTTTTTCTCCCCAAACAAGATTGTACAGGGAAAGATTCAGGACTCCAATAAGTTCCATATGGCTATTATAGGAAATCCTAAACCGGTGACATATTTGAGGAGAGGTTCTAATGATTCTCAAGTTTTTTCCAATTTCCAATGATGGATTTTTGGGAATAAGACCACCAAGCCTGGTTTATGTGAAAAGTTGAAGGAAGTTCCCTTAAGAGCACTTAGCTCCCTCCAATTACATATGGAATGCCTCGCTCCTTCCAATTTTGGTTTTTTCGGGATAAGTCCAATGATTACCCCCCCACCACAACACCCCCACAACCACCCACCCACCCCCCCACCCCCCCCCACCCCCCCACCCCCCCCCCCCCCCCCCCACCACAACACCCCCCCACCCCCACCCCCACCCCCCCCCCCCCCCCCCAACCCCCCACCACCCCCCAGCCCCCCCCCTGCCAGCCCAACCCCCCACATCCCACACTCGGCGCCCCCCACCCA